GATTGGGCTCGATCCCTCTCTTGGTCATCATATAGCCGAGGAATTTCCCTGTTTGAACCGCAAATGTGCACTTGGTCGGGTTCAATCTCAGCTGATACCTCCGCATAATCTGAAAGCATTCCCGGAGGTCCCGAGTGTGGTTGGATCGGTCCCGACTCTTGACCACCATATCATCTATGTATGCTTCCATCGCTCGGCCCAAGAGATCCGTAAAGAGCATATTGACCATTCTCTGATAGGTTGCTCCCGCGTTGCGAAGGCCGAACGACATCACTCGGTAGCAGTACAGCCTGTTCGGGGTCACGAAGGCTATTTTTCTCTCGTCTTCATGGTGCATCATTATTTGGTGATAACCCTTGAAGGCATCCATGAAGCTCATAAGCTCGGCCCCGGCTGTCTCGTCGACCATCTGATGAATGCTAGGGAGCGGATACGGGTCGAGCGGACAGGCCTTGTTGAGGTCGGTAAAGTCTATGCACATCCTCCAAGCTGGGGGCTTAGGAACAAGAACAATATTTGCCACCTACACGGGATAAATCACCGGTCAGATGTGCTCGATCGCCGCCATCTTTTTGACCTCTTCTCTAACGAACTCTCGGCGATCGGAAGATAAGTGCCGTGTCTTCTGAACGACCGGCTTGGCCGCGGGATCTACGGCAAGTTTGTGGCAGATGACTGTACGGTCGATCCCGGGCATGTCATCGGGCCCCCACGCAAAGATGTCGGCAAATTCCCGAAGGATTGCCAACACTTCTGATCGTAGCTCGGGGGTAAGGGCCCAGCCAATTTTGATCTTCCTGTCCGGTCGATCCTCGGACAGGGGAACTTCTTCGATTTCTTTGGAAGGCTCGGGTTGCTCCTTCCGGTCACTGGTAGCGTCTTTCACGATCGTGTTCACCCGGGAAGACGTGCCAGTATCACGTTTGTTGACGGCCCGTGTGTAACATTTCTGCGCGGATTGAACATCTCCGCGAACCACACCGACCCCATTAGGGGTGGGAAATTTCATGCATAGGTGGGGCATAGAAATTATCCCACCGATCTTCATTATGGCCGGTCAGTCCAAGATGATGTTGTGGACGCAGTGCAGGTTTACCACAACGAATTCCATCTCGGTCTTGATAGATTTTGGCGGGGTGCCGATCTCGACCGGGAGCATGATCTTTCCTTCGGGGCGAATGAGGGCCCCGGTAAATCCCGACAAGGGTACACCGACTAAAATCAGCTCGCGCTTGTCGAGTTTAAGCTTCTCGAACACGTCCAAATAAAGGACGTTGACACTGCTCCTGGTGTCCACCATAACTCTGTGGACATCGGTCCCATTCACATCAATAGTGACCACAAGAGCTTCGAAGCCGTGGTCACCGCTAGGGGTGTAAATGAGCTGAGTCGCTCGCGAGTCGCTCGTGAGCGGTTCGGTCAACGCTCGGCTCGAACTCGGTCAAAATCGAGCTCGGTTTGAGCTCGAGCAGCTTGTGGATTAAACGAGCATGAGCCAAGCTTAGGTATTGTAGGCTCACGGCTCGAAGAGCCGCTCGCGAGCCTTATAATATATAATATATAATATAATTATATTATATTTAGTATATAAAAATAATAATTAGGGGAGAGAAATTAAAATACTTTAATAATTATGTATGTATAAAAGTCATAAAACAAAGTAGTTTAAATTTTAAATCAAACAGATCAAATTCGAGATCAAAATTGAGCTCAAATTCAAGCCTAAACTCGAGCTCGAATTCGAGCCTGAACTCGAGCTCGAGTTCAGGCTCGATTTCGAGCTCGAGCTCGAACAACCGAGCTGTTCGAGCTCAAGCTCGAGCAGCTCGACAATTGCCGAGCTCGAGCTCGAGCATCAGTTCACGAGCTCGAGCAATGCTATCATTAACGAGCACGAGCATGAGCCTACCCAAGCTCGGGCTCGGCTTGACTCGTTTACACCTCTAGTCACCGATGTTGGGCTGGTCCTCCAAGGAGAAGGTTATGGGCTCCATCTTCTGCCTTTTCCCGGTATCACGGGAGTCTACGATCGCGACCGGGCAGTTTTCCCTCGGTCGGGAAGCATCATCCAATCCACCAAAGATCACGTGGATGGTCGGCTTGCCTGCCGGTCGGCTGCTGGATGGAGGGTCGGGGTCCCTGCGGTCATCTCTGTGGTCCTGACCCGACCGATCGGAACGTTCTGCACGATCGGAGCAATCGGAGCGATCAGAGCGGTGATGGGAGCGCATGTGATCTCTCCGATCGGTAACCTTCTTTGTTTCTTCTCTCTTTCCCACACATTTATCCAGCTTTCCAATACTGAGCAAATCTTCCAATAGCTGGCGTAAGTGCATGCACTCTTCCGTGTCATGCCCGGCACAACGGTGGTAAGCGCAATGCTTAGATTTGTCCGGTCCGTCTTGTCCGGGATGAGGGAGTCGGATGAGATTGCAGGACTGGGCGTACTGCATGGCTTCTGCCGCGGATCAGTTCAAGGCCGTAAACTCGCCAGGCCGGGTGCGGGGTCGGGGATGATCATCACCCAATCGATGTTCCGCCCGGCCGGTTGGCTTACGGGATGAAGTCCCGACCTCCTGCGATCTTTTAACGGCGTTCGCTTCACCGGCGTTAGCATAATCCGTCACCCTTTGGAGGGCCTCTTCATATGTGCTCGGGGGGTGGAGGATAAAATCCTGATAGAGATAGCCGGCGCGGAGGGAAATATGGAGCATGTGAATGGCAGTGAGATCATCCATTGGTTCAACCTCCCCGACCGCGGCTTTCTACTTGACCAAAAAATCGGCCAAGCTCTCCCCCTCCAGCTGCTTGGCCTTCTCCAGATACATATAGGGCTTTCTTATGATCCTGGAGGTCACAAACTTGCGGTTGAACTTCCTCGCCAAGGTTTCGAAATCGGCGATGGAGTGACCTGAACCATTCCGCCGCCCGACCGACGAGCGTGGAATAGAAAGCCCTACACATGACGGCGTCAGACACGCCCATCATCATCATGTTGCCGTAGTAGGTGTTAACATGGACCTCAGGGTCCATACGACCATCATAACCTTTGTTGCCCGGGACTTGCAGATCGAGCGGGTATGGCTGGGTCATTATCTCCGCAGTAAAGGGTGTCCTCAGCAGGGAGGCTGATTGATCGACTGGGGGCCTCACCGCGTGCTCGTCTCTAAACCGAGTGAACTCCGCTCGGAGGTCATTGAGCAGTACTCGGGTCTCGTTTAGCTCGACCGTCGGGGCCCGGCCGGTTCCCAGGCGCGTCGTCGACGGTGTGATCACGACCCACTGTGCGCAGATGAACCTTCCTGGCTGGCTTCTCTCATCGGTGAGTCTACTGAGCGCCGGCTCGGGTCCTGTGGTCCCAATCGTTGTCGCATGGCTGGGCGGAGCCGCTCGAACGTCATTTCCCAATTGGCTTCGTCTTTAAGGTTTACGGTCGAGGCTTGTACTTCCGGCCGAACCTGTTGGGCCTGTCGTGGTACCTCCATGGCCTCGGCACCCAGCGACCCTAACCTCGAACGAGCCGAGCGCCTAGCCCGGGAAATGGGCTGAAGCTCCGGCTCGACCGGTACAGTCGGGTAAATCGGAGGGGCTGGGGATGGAGCCGTGTGCACAGGCATGTATGGTGGATATCCGGTCGGGGACGGATAGAACATCGGTTGACCGGGCCAATATCCATATGGTGGAGGTGGGACCGGGTATGGATATTGCCCAGGATACTGGTACTACTGACCGGGTGCTGGATATCCCGGTTGAATGCATTCAACGGGCTGCTGGGCGGCCGGGTTATGGACCGGCAGATGGGGCGGTGAGAGGTTGAGATTGAGATCAACATTATGATCCTGGTTGTCGGCTGAGCTAGCTGCGTCTGCCTGGTCATAATCATTGATGTTGTACATGTAGGGATACATGGTGATAGGTAGGACGGGTGCTCGTCAACGTTAGCTTTCGTGCACGGGTCCCCACAGACGGCGCCAAAATGATAGTGTTAATTCCACGTAAGCAGTTAATAGTAGTCAAGACAGTCCAATCAAAAGCAATTAAATCTTTATTGATCGGGTAAAGGACCTAATACAATCTACAATGGCTATTCCGATGGCCGACTGACTGCGGTCGGGATGCTCTGTAAATAGCCTATCGATCGTCCAAAAGTCCCTCACACTGTTGCCGTCGCGGGTATTTATAGCCGCGAGGCCGGAGACACAAGTCCGGCCGTCCGGCATGTACCCCACGTAGCAACCACGTGTCTTCTTCCCGGGAGCCCTGCCAGTCAGCGCGTAATGCTACCACGTGCCTCTTCTCGGCTCTCTCGTCTAAGGGCTATCGATCGGGAGTTGAAGACGTCGGTCGGGCGATGCCCGATCGGGAGCCGACCGGGTTCTTCTAAGAATGTCCGACCTGTAACCTGCATAAACAAGAATAAAAGACGAAGGCATGTCGGTCGAGGTATTCCCTACCATAGGTATTATAGTGTAATATATTATTTATTTTTAGTTGGCATTTAGAAATGGACTTTATATTGATTGAATGATGCATCATGTATAAGTTTATATTAAATATACTGGTTTTATCAAAACTAGAAATTTAGAATTTTAATTTGAAAATGTCAAAAGTTTTACTTGAACCATAAGCCCGACACTTTGAGGTTTTAGCGGTAAGACTAAGAATTTTAAACTCAACTAGAAAAAATGATAAGAATTTTAAACTCAATCAAAAAAAATGATAAGTCCTAACCAATAAGTTTGACAACTCGATAAGACTAGTCTGAAATCGGATGTGCTGATCGACTAGCATCCATATATACATGTCCAAGACTTTTTTCACGTCCTAAATAATTTCTAAATGGAGTAAAAGACATTTTTGGTCCTAGACTTATAGTGGCACGGACAATTTTAGTCCTTAATTAAAAAAATCAGACAATTTGTGGACACTCATTGTGACGAGGACAATTTTGATCCTCTGGCACTCTTTCCGTTAGATGCTCCGTTTTGAGAGGGGTATTTGCGTCTTTTCATCATATCAACTCAGTCTCAGATTCTGAGCCACCGTCACAATGCACCGCTTTATTTCATCACTCCCAACAACGCCGTCTTCGCCTTGTGTCACCCGCACGCCGGTCTTCCACGCATCTTGAATCAGCTTGGCGTTAGTCCCTTGGTCCGTCCAGTGAGGGAACGCCACCGCCGGTGTGCCGGAGTATATGCTTTCGAGAGTCCAATTCCATCCACAGTGCGTGATGAAGCAACCCAGAGAGGGGTGTTTCAGGACTTCGATTTGGGAACGCCATGGCACTATTAATCCATGTTTTTCCAATTCCTCCATGCAACTCAATTTCTCCTTTTCTTCTTCGTTATTGTCTCCTTTATCGTTTTCTGGTTTGTCTCTTATCACCCACAGGAATGGGCTTTTAATCTCCAGCAACCCTTTCGCGGTATCTTCCTTTTGGGTTTTGGAAGGGTTCAGGAGGCTTCTGAATGAAATGTAGACCACAGAAGACTCCAGCTGCGAGCTCAGCCAGTCGTTGATGTAGCCGCCGTCCTTTGATTTCTTGAAAAGATCACCGTCGAAGGCGGTGTCGTAGGGATCTTTTCCATCCAAGAAAGCGGAGGGAATTAATGGCCCAACTCCCATCAAATTGTAGCTACTTATGGATTTCAGTCCCTCTGCCTCCAAAGCGTCGAAAGTGTTAACCAGCACAGTTAGATTAGCTTAAAGGTTGGCATGGCAAAACTGTAATCTCCACCGGAGCCGGAGGGGAGTAGAGATGACGGGAGATCGCGGCTGAACAGGGGAGGAAGCCCAGGTAGTTAGACGGGGCGGTTTGGATCGCTAGCGGCATTCTTGAAGTCATCCTCATATCCATGGAAGTAGTAATAGTAAATATCCAAAACAGTCGCGGGTTGAATCCAGAGCAAGGCGGAAGGGAGGTTGACATCACGGGCCACCTCAGAAACCTAGGGGAGCATAATAGTATGAATCACGGCCACGATGGGGCGGCATTGAGCAAATTAGTATCCAATACTTCTTCTGCTTATTACAGGTTGTCATGCCAAAACTGGGCTGGAGATGGCTACTTGCGTTTTCTTCTGTACCCTCTTCATTGCTTCTTTTGTTCTACGGTTTCACCATTGAATCACTGAGATTTTTATGCGCAAAGGGGAGACGAGAAGAAGCATTACTTATCCTGGAGAAAATATCGAGAATTAATGGAACAAAACTGCCACCTGGAATGCTTGTTTCTGAAAGAGAAGTTGCGGTGGAAGGTAATGGCTCTGCATCAGACGATACACATTTGTTGTCACCAAACTTAAACTACGTCGTTTCAAAGGTCTGAGATTGAGTTAATACGATGAAAAGACGCAAATACCCCTCTCAAACGGAGCATCTAACGGAAAGAGTGACGGAGGATCAAAATTGTCCTCGTCACAATAAGAGTGTCCACAAATTGTCTGATTTTTTTATTAAGGACTAAAATTGTCCGTGCCACTATAAGTTTAGGACCAAAAATGTCTTTTACTCTTTCTAAATGTTTGGAAGTGGTTGAATATTTTGCCTCAACAAATTTTCAAAAAAAAAAAAACACAAAAACAAACAACAAAAAACTTGCGTACATTAATTTGCGAAGTATATATAATTTCTTACTACATTTTAATTGGTATCATCAACATTTATTATTTACAATTAATTATAACAGCTTTTCCATTTATACTACAACTACAATATAATTACACAATACCCATTAATAATTTTCTTTAAAAAAATAAAAAAAAAAAAAAAAAACAAACAAACAAACAAACAACAACAACAACAACAATTTACGTACTAGCTCGGCATCGTTTCTACTGTTATTCAATTCAGTCATGTCCAATCAGCACAACTATTAACTATCAGTTAACTCGATCATCTATCAACCGTTGTCGAACACCTCTTTGACCTTTATAGTATCATTCGTGACCTCCTCGGCACTTGGTCTGTTCTTCATCCTATGAGGACTCCTGTTTTAGAATCTACGAAAAAACGATTTAAATTTTTGGTACCCATAAATTTTTGGGTCCTTGAGTGTTAGCCGAATAACCTTTCTCTACCCATCTAGGTCTTTCCCAATATGGAGTATGATTACCTAATTCCACTTTTCTTTTGATTGGGCATTTATTCACCGTATGACCATGCTTCTCACAATATGTGCAACATATAGATGATGATGAATAATGAGTCATATGAGAAGATATGTTTTGCTTATTTGTATTGTGATTATTATTGTAGCCTATTCCTCTTTTATCCCAACATAAGCGTTGTGAATCAAGAATAGTATCAAGTGCGGTGCTACCTTTGGTGAACTTTTCAATTGTCAATTTTTGATACTCACAAACGGATTTCAAAGAATCAATTTCTTTTGAAAAAGTATCCACTTGCAATTCAAGCTTGGATTTTTCAACAAGAATTTTATCAAGTTGCGATTGCAGAGAATCAAGTTGTTTTTTCGAAACGCATTTTTCTTCAATCATTTTTGTCAATTTATGAAAGCATTCAATGAAAGCATTTTGTAATTCATGAAACGTATAATCATATGAGTTCTCGTTCTCGTCGTTAGCCATTATGAATTATGTATGTTTGATGTAAAAGAAAAATACCAACCTCAAAGAGTGTACGAAATATCCTATCAACCTCGAAGATGATAGAGATTAGCAATAGAAATATTACTGATTAAAAGGCTATATAAAGAGTTTGTGTATGGTTTAAGATCGTCTTATGATGAATTTGTATATATGTATTTATAGATGTCGAGGGAAATGGAAGAATATCCTTGTTGAAAGAAAGAATGATGTTTTGCTTTGTGTGTTCCATTGTACAATTATGTTTCTAAGAAATTGTGTTACCTTCCTCTTTGGTTTTCTCTTGCTACAAGTTACGTGGAGAAAGGATCTCCCTTGGGAAACTTCTTATACGTGAAACTAGCCTTCAAAGAATAATAATTTCGTTCAAATAAGTAGGGGTGTCAAAGTGGGTTGAAATCCGTTGTTAGTCCGCTCTCACCCACAATAAAATGAGTTAAGTCACAAAAAATATGAACCGCAAAAATGTGGACCTAACGAGGTTCAATCCAAAGAATCGATGTCTTCACCATTGAGGTTCGATTTTGTGACTACTTATTTAGAATAGTAATAGAGGTGTCATCACACTACAGGATAGTTGGCAAACAAAAGTTTATATATGCTAATGCAATGTAACAAATCTTTTATATTTATTAATTACCCGTAAATGCATCAATTTCATTATAAAAAAAATAGGAAAATGGAATAATTGGTCCCTGAGTTATACCTATATTGACGACTTATTCCTTCTGTTATGAGCGAAGTGGCATATCTGGTCTCTGACGTTATGTTTCTATCTCAACCTGACGGAAAATTCAAAAACCCTCTATTATTAGAGGGTTAAAATATGAAATTCACATCTTATTTTCCTTCTTATATTGAAACAACTTTCGCAACAGTATTTTCTACTTTCCAGCCTCCTATTTCAAATTTCTTCAACTCCAAAAGTATTTCAATAATCCTTGACTTGTTAGAGTATCATTATCCGAGGTTTTTTTGGGGTTCTTAGTACAGTGTATGATGAAGTGGAGAGAGAGAAAATTGAGGAGCTTCTGCACGCCATGGTTTTTAGAATAGTATTTGCGTTAAAAAATTAAAAAAAAAAAAAAAAAAAAAAAGTTACCCTGTGCGTGTTTCGCACACAGACTGTAGCGCTTCAGGCGCGCCTGACAGTACATTTAATATTTGTTTTTTTTTAAAGAAAAATCAGTTTTGCTTTTTTTTAAAAAAAAAAATCTTTTTCATCTCTCTTTCCATATTATATTTCCTAATCACACTTACAAAAATTCCTCAAAAATCACAAAATACTTCAACTATTGTGGATGCTCTTAGGAACATAATCTCGTATAAGGAACCTGAGACTTAGTACAAATAAAGGAACACTTTATCATTGTCTTTAGGCGTGTGAAACACACTGATAGTTGATAGCGTATTAACTTAACTGATAGTTGTTAGCATATTGAGTAAGCGGATTTGACTTAGTTGGTTGTAGAAAAATGTTGGATAAATTAGTTGTTCGCGGATAACTAATTAGTAATTACAAAATCACTTTTAAAAGTATGAGTGTATTATTTTATTTTAAATAATAATAATAAGTAATATTGTTATTAGAAGAAATTTCAATTTTGGTCATATGACTGTAGGGGTCTTGTTAATTTCAGTCATTGATTTTTAAAAGTGTCAATTTAGTACTTTAACTATGCAATTTTTGTCAATTTTGGTCACTCCAGCCAAATTGCCCGCCAAATTTCTTCGGAAAATTTTAATTAAAATAATAAGAGTATTTTGATCATTTCACGTCTCTTTTCTTCTTCCCACGTGAGTCCATCCCTTCCTCTCCCGTTTCCGGTGAATGCAATGAACTAAGATGATGGGGAAAGGAGGCTTGATGATATTAAAGATAGGGTTTAGAGGGAGAAAGAACGCTGGAAATGGGAGAGAAAGAGATGGACTCGCCGGAGAAGAAGAAAAGATGACCGAAACGACCAAAATACCCTCATTATTTTAACTATTAAAAATTTTCCAGCGAAATTTGGCCGGAGTGACTAAAATTAACAAAAATTGCATAGTTAAGGTACTAAATTGAGACTTTTGAAAGTCAGGAACTAAAATTAACAAGACCCCTATAATCATATGACCAAAATTGAAATTTACTCTTATTATTATTATAAAATTTATTTATATAAAAAAATAAACATATTTTCATGGACTTAGGAAGCCAGTGAACACTAATTAACAATCACATGTCTCATTTGTTAATTACCTTCAGAGTATTAGGGCATATTATGCTATGCATCCGTATGCACCATGCATGGTGCATACGGAGGCAAAAACGACGTCGTTTTGGTTAAAAAATGTGCGTCCCACTTAAAAAAGAAATCAGGTTCAATTTCCGGCAATAGCATTTTTATATATCCATAAATTCATAACTATATATCCATAAATTCATAACTATATATCCACAGTGAATGAATGCACTAAATATCCACAATGATTGAACTAAATATCCACAATGAATGAACTAAATATCCATAAATTCATAACTATATATCCATAAATTCATAACTATATATCCACAGTGAATGAATGAAGTAAATATCTACAATGAATGAATTAAATATCCACAATGATTGAACTAAATATCCACAATGATTGAACTAAATATCCACAATGAATCAATTAAATATCCATAAATTCATAACTATATATCCATAAATTCATAACTATATATCCACAATAATGTTATTGCCGAGAATCGGACCTGAGTTTTTTTTTTAAGTGAGATGCGCGTTTTTAGTCAAAACGACGTCGTTTTGCATCGTATGCACCATGCATGATGTATTTGGTTGCACAGCATAACTATTGGAGTATAAGGCAATGGGCTTATGAGCTCCATCGATAGGCTCAACTGCTCAAGCATCCCGTTGCCTAGTAGCACGAAAAGACAATAAGAATAACGAGAGTGTTAAACCCGTCTTCATAGTCTCGTTATTATTTAAATTATTGGGGGGATGTTTTGGGAAAATTAATTTATTTTGTTGGGCATGTATGTTGAAGGCCGGCGCTGCAGTATGTTTGGTTCACCAAACATATATTATTACAGTAACGTACAAATGAAATGTACAATTACTTGAGATATAATATTATTTGAAAACAGGGGGCGCAAAGTAAATTTGGAGCATTTACTAGGTAAACTTATATGACCGTACTGATCGAAACGAAGAGCATATCACACACTTGCCTGGATATTCCTCATCTTCCCACATATTCTCTCTGGATATTCCTTCCTTTCGCCTCTCGCCGAATATTCCTCTCCAAATGCTTCACGCATTTTCGCCCTTATTACACAACCCTTTTCTCTCCATTCCCATTCTCTTCCTCCCCATTCTTCATCCACACACATATTCCATAGAGAGAGAAAATGAAGTACTGGAAGAGTTTGAGTGCTATGATTGCCCACATAGCGAAGGTGCTCCCAGAATGGGAAGAGATGTTCTTGTCGTACAAGGATCTCAAGAAGCAGCTCAAATTGATCTTCCCCAAGGAGGGCGAGAGTAGCTGCCGGCCCACCAAGCGGCCCAGATTGGAGGACGGCGGCGATCAGCCGGAGGTGGCTAAGGAGGTTACGGATTTCGTGACCCTTTTGCGGAGGGAGATTCACAAGCTCAATTCCTTCTTTATGGATCAGGAAGAAGATTATGTCATCAAGTTGGAGGTATCTGTTTTGCGTTTCACTTATTCGATTGTTTATTTCGGAATTTAACTCATCTTTTTCCTTGATTTTTATGAATTTATCAAACAATATTACATTATGTGGTTAATTTTGGTCGGTTTTACCCAAATTACTTGGATAATCTGTTAGGAAATTACAGAAAACTAAGATATTGATCAGAGATGAGCACAGTTCTTACTATACAAGCAGCAGAATGGCAGCATTAAAAATGGCATCTTTATTGGGTTTCAATCATTCATTTATTTTGGGCTTAAACTGATGTTTTTTCTTGATTTCCCTTTGATTTATTGACTGCATATTGTGATGATTTAAGTAAAGAAAACTACATCATATGGTTAATCCCGGTTTTTATTATATCTGGGAACTTCTAGAATGATTTAAGCCTCTAAGCATCTTGCTTTGTGCTTGGCTGTGTTGTTGTTAGGGTTGGAAGTATAAGGGGAGAGGTAAAACTAGACCACAAGGTACAGTATATTGTGCCAAAAGGCATCGAGACTGAAATAACACTTGAAATTTGAAGGACCTCGGTTAATTCAACTGCGTTTTCAATTCAATGTTAATGGGGTGTTTGCTAAATAGCGGTTAGCTTATTGGGTTAGTGGGTTTGACTAGTTGATAGCATTAGCTGATTGTAGAAAAGTGTTTAGTAAATTAGCTGCTAGTTGATAGTTGATTACGTGCAAAATGGCTTTCTCAAAAAGCGGATTGAAAAAATTACTTTGAGCAGCTTTTTTGAATTTTTGCATTTTGGAGCAATAAGTTATTACAAAAAGCTAATTAATCAAACAGCTAATAGTGGTCAAATAAGTCGTAATTGGCTGATATGCTAACTATTTTACCAAACAGGGCCATATATATTTTATGTTTTGTCTCTTTTTTTTCACTTATTTTTTGTTTTGCTTGGTGTGAGGTAGTAGTAATGTTTTTCTTCTGGTTGAGTGCAGCTACTGAAAAAGACAGTAGAAAAGGCTAATGGTTCATATGTGAAGTTGATGAATATTGGAAGCGAGATAGTAGATCTTCATGGGCAGATGGTGCTGTTGGAAAATTACAGCGCTCTTAACTACTTAGGTACTTGCCTATCCAAATGTGCCATTTATCTTTCGTCTCTTGCTAACTCGATAAAGTTCAATATTAGTAATATGTCTATGGTTTTTCTCTGCAAAAACCCATCAAAACCCACAAATGTGGTTGCTCTAAGAAGTGTAGATTATGATATTATAGGTTGGGAATCTCAAGTTGGGCTTGTGCATAGCTTCCTTGCCTTCGTATTTCAATTGATTGTTATATGCGTCGAATTGATTTGTGCAGGAATAGTTAAGATTTTGAAAAAATACGACAAGCGTAGCGGGGATCTCCTTCGCTTGCCTTTTATCCAGACTGTGCTAGAAGAGCCATTCTTCAACACCGACGTACTGAAACAACTAGTGAAGGATTGCGAGATTTTGCTGCGCAATAACCTCAAGACCACCATGACCGAAAGTGAAGAGAGGCAGCAGCCTCTCAGAGTTCCTCAAGAACTCAGTGAAATCGATATCATGGGAAATACATACATGGCACTCGCGAATTCAGCGTTGCAAGTGCTAGAGCAGATCAGAAGCGTAAGCTCGACCAAAAGCATGTATTCTTTACCGCCTCTACAAGGGAATAATTTAGACGAGTTCTGGAAGAACCATTCAGTGGTAGAGCAAGAAGCGAAGTAGTAATCCCCGGGGACCGGGACCTGCTTAGCAAAGTTCTGGTTTTAGTTTCTTACGGTTCTTGCACACGATTAACTTGCAGATAGTATATTGCCACGGGCTGATAATACATATAGAATACTGTTATATTATATGAATAGGCAGGCTTGTTTGTTTGTGGAGATCACCCAACTGAAATGTATACCATAAAGCTTTGCCTGTTGTATTGACAAACTCCTGATACGCTAACTGTGTTGATTGTGAAACTTGTCTCCATGCTGGAGTCTTGCAGTAGAGAAATTTGGCTTTATGTGAATGTGAAAGAGTTGATTTGAGTTGTTGCCATTTGACTGCAAGGTGATGAGTAGGCATATTGGAATAGGAATGATTGAGCTAATAGGGTGGGATAGGTGTAGTCACCCTTAACCCACTCTCTATTCATTACCATCTTTAGAGAGAGTTCAAAATATTTGTCTTTATCTCGGTTCATAATAGGGATGGTAATTCAACCCAACCCTGAAAGGAAAAATCCATCTTCACCTTGATGGATCGGGGATGAGATTTTTTTTTTTCAAGGAACTGGGGTAAGGATGGGGAGAGCTTTCTCATCCCCGTGGGTGACGGGGATCTCATCCTCGCCTTGAACCCAGTTCCCGTTCGTGACTCCGGTTCCCTAATTATATATTTATTTTATATCATATAAATTAAAAAGTACATTGAATTATAAAGTAGAAAGAGAAAAATGTCAAAAGAAACCTAGAAAGGGAGTTGTTTCTTTGTCACCGTCATCGACTACCTGCAATCGGCTTGTCACTGTGTCTCAATCGCTCGCTAGCATCCGACTCCCCAACAAGCCACAATTCCTTCATTGCTAGGTGAATATCACATTAGTGTTGTCTTCTATTTTTGTTTTCCTTGGTGATATATCACTAATCCTTTGATACTTTTCAGTTGTAACACTCAACACCTACATCGAGCCCATTAAAACTAATTATCAGTTTATCACATTAAAATCTATATATTTGTTGAATTTCTTTTTTCCTTTGAGTTTCAAATTCTTGAAAACATTCAATCAGAAGAGGAGAGGAGAGACTTTGATTTAGGATACTTTCAAGATATCTGTAAATAATTTGTCAAATAGAACAATGCACCATATAATAGAAAACACTACATGTTAAAATTGATCCAGAAATATGATTGACATGAAGGAATTGTGTTATGTAAACTTTCACTCTCTTAACAATTTTGGAGGTTTCTAACAAATTGAAGACATCAAGCTAGGTTACTCTAAAAATTTACATAAAAAAATGATATTCTATGGAGCAAAAATCGTGACGGAGACTCTTTATCCCGAAAAATCTACCTAGAACGGGGAATGAAGATTGAATTCAGAGATGGGGATGGAGATCTCATTTCCCACTCCCGCCCCGTTGCCAAGCTTCATAATATTTGTTGTGTTTGGGGAATGTACTCATAAGAAATAAATAGGCTATAGACCTATAAGTAAAAACAAGTGCATACAAATAACAGGAAGCGCCTGTAGCTCAGTGGATAGAGCGTCTGTTTCCTAAGCAGAAAGTCGTAGGTTCGACCCCTACCTGGCGCGTTCTGTAATAAATCTGTAACATCTTTTTAATGTTTGACAAAAAGTTAAGAAAACAAAAGTGTTTTACAAAGGTAAGTAAACAAAAGTGCATATCAATATCAAGCAGCGCCTGTAGCTCAGTGGATAGAGCGTCTGTTTCCTAAGCAGAAAGTCGTAGGTTCGACCCCTACCTGGCGCGTTTTGTGATACCCGACCTGGAACCTCTTTTGAATGTTTGAGAAAGTTTAAAAAGAATCTAAGATAAGATTGCTTATAAAACATAGGCCCATCTTGCCGATTAAATGACTAAAACATATGATCCAAAAAAAATAATTAAAAGATAGATAGCTTTAAAAACCAAATTATGCATAAAGTATCAAACAGACCACTAAACTTATTATAAAGTCATAAAGTATCAACCTTTTCACATAAAGTCATTTCGAAGAAAAAAAACACAAAAGGAATATCTAATTAAATTTATTATAGTCATATCTCATATTGTCTATGTATAATATAAAAGATCACTGCATTTTTTCCCACGACTTTTTCAAGCAAAATATGTTGTACTTTGTGCATTCATAGGTGTTCCTTGCAAAATTAATGGGCTATTTTGCCTTTGCCGATGTTGTCGTTCAAATTCTGACTATTTAGAGGACAAAACTGGGACTATTTAGGGGTCGTTTATCAACTTGAAAAAATGGAGGATTTTTCAAAAAATGAAGAAATTGAGAAGTAGAAAATAAAAAAAGGGAGAAGTTGTTTACTAAATTTCTTCTTCCAAATGCCTTTTTCATCTCCATTCTACAATCTTGTTAAGCTTTTGGAGAATAAAAAAATCAACATCTCCAAATGGAGGAATGGAAATAGACAGATGAATAGGCTAGGTTAGCCTTAGGTCTAAGTATTAAATCTTGTTGGTGACTATTTTCTTTTTTACTTCAGATTTAACAATAATTATTGTTATTAAATTCTAATTATTATTATTATTATTGTTATTGATATTATTATTGTTATTATTATTATTATTATTATTATTATTACTAGTATTTAATATGTTATAAAAATATACCCTATATGAGGTTTATTCATATATAAAATTTTTGTTATTTAATAATTATTATGTGTGAATTTCTATGATAAAATTATGAACATAAATATATTTATAATTAAAATAATATTTAAGGTGGGTGATTACTACAAATCTTAAACTATATTAAAAATTTAGTACATAGTATTTAATATTACAAATTTTTAAGAACTTAGTAAACTACAATAGTAATTGAATTACAATTTTAGAGTCACCACGGATCAAAATTTTTAGACCTTTGAGATTTCTAATTCTAGATGTAGCAACATACAATTGACCTTTAAAGACCCAAATCACAATCTTAGTTCGAACATTGATTTTTTTCTTCCAAATACTATCGAATTAAGTGTGTAATCAATAAAAGATGAGAACTAATAATTCGAGAATATAATCTTAATGTTACTAAGCCACTTTACGTCAATTAAGTTGGAGAGTGTTGTTGGATAGTATCCGATGAATCCACGAATAACGCATCTTTGCCTCCGTAGTTCTCAATATGCACATCAACAATTTTAAATATTAGGCCGCCTAGCTATGCCATATATTAATTTCAAATTATGAACTTTGGGGTTGCATGCAATAAAAAGTATATTTTAAATATACTAAGGGTACATTATATATGTATGTAAGGTACTTTCAATATAAAAATAATGTATTTTTAATATATTAAAAATGTATTTAATATTCATGATCCATACAATTATGTGGACCATCGTTCCTCACAATAATTTGCCAGTAGAAATTGAAATATAAATAAATATAATAAATAAATAAATAAATAAGTAAATATATATATATATATATATATATATATATATATATATATATATATATATGTATATATATTATATTTATTAGAAACTGTCCGTGGAAATTATTATCATTATTATCAGGCACAAGTGTCAAATAGGCCCATCTACTATTGCCAAGTGCTCAATTCTCACCACGAACTAAGTTAAGTGCCAAATAGTTCCATTTACCAGCTAAATTTGTTCGATTGACTTTTTTTGCAGGTTGCTAACAGGTTGCCTTTCTCCAGCCAATCTGTTCAGCTTGCGTAGTTGTATTCCGATGTCATCTTTAGCTTTGAGTGCAAATTTTCTAATTGCAGCACTACTATTAGATTTCCTCTGCAATACGGCTTGCAGAGAACAAAGCTTTCTGAATAAAGATTTCATTTCTTCTTCGCCTGCTTCATCATTAAAAGGTGGGATGGGGCTCAAAAGGTATTCTTCATAAAAATAAAGGTATTCAAAGAAAGGCATAATAGCTTCATCATCAAGAAACACAATTGGGATGGGTTTCAAAAAGAAATACTCAAGCTTTGTTATGATGAGAATGCTTAAAGCAGCACTAGCCATCCCCCTTTCACTTAAACAGGACTCTTTTTGTCTAGTTAGAATCTTCAACAGCTGTGTTGCATTCTTTGCTATTTCTTGTAAAGTTTGTCGGAGTTCAACTGAAGCAAATATTTGTATTTGGATGTCATCTTCAGCTTTGAGTGCAAAAGTTTCTGATTTGAATTTCCAAATCTTTGAGTAAACCACCATCACCACTGGATTCGTTCTGGAGAAAGACTTGCAGAAAACAAAGGTTTCTAAGCAAAGATTTGAAAGGCAATTTACAAAATGGTTGGAGAAAGGCAACATGTTAGCAACCTGCAAAAAAAGTCTATTAAACAAATTTAGTTAATAGATGGGCCTATTTGGCACTTAATTTAGTTCGTGGTGGGAATTGAGCACTTCGCAGTAGTAGATGAGCCTATTTGACACTTGTGCCTTATTATTATTATTATTATTATTATTATTATTATTATTATTATTATTATTATTATTGTTATTATAATTAACAATATTATTATGGTTTTGTGAAAATTAAATGTTGATTATCAACATTTAATTTTCACAATAACAATATTATTATGGTCTTGTGAAAATTAAATGTTGATTATCACCATTTAATTTTCACAAGACCATATGGCTTTATTATATATAGGATTATTGTTATTGATATTATTATTTTTTTTAAATTATTATTATTATTATTATTATTATTATTATTATTATTATTTCTACTATTATTGTTGTTGTTGTTATTAATATTATTATTATTGTTGTTGTTATCATTATGATTATGATTATGATTATGATTATTATCTTTGTTGTATAAATATACAAATGGTATATAAGATGATTGTATTTAATAAAATCACAAAATTAGAAAAATGAAAAATTGAGGAAATGAAGAAATGGAAAACTAGAGAAATGGAAAAGAAAATCTGAAAAATTGAAAATGGAAAAATAGAGAAATGAAGCATCCACACTTGTGCATATTATGGGGAGATTTCAGTTTGCATTCTTCCAACAAGAAATAATAGCTAATGTAGAGGGGAGATAATTGAAAAAGATTTGTCCTGCAAATGTTGGTATATTGTCAGAAAAAGAAGAAGAAAGAAAAAAAGAAACATTAGGCTGCTGTGCGCGTTTCGCGCACAGCAGCCCGCTCACACGGGCGCGTCAGGCGCGTCGAACGACGCGCCTGACAGCTCTTTTTTCTTTTTTCTTTTTTTTCGTTTGTTTTTTAATTTTGGTTTTTTTATTTTTTTTTTCCTCCCTTCCCCACATTCTCTCTCCTAATCACCCTT